ACAATATATCAACACAAGATCTTCAATTCAATCTGGCACTTTAAGCTACTTCCTTGCAAAGATTTAAAACACTCCAAGGTTCCTTGCAAAGATTTTAAGAACTCTAAGGTTGTTCACTTGACTGTGATTCCCTCTTGAACGATCTTGTTGCGAAAACCCCCAAATCAACAACGAATCTTGGAAGACAAACCCTAACAAAGAGTTTTTCTGGATGAAGACCCCTACAAATCTCAACCCAATACACAATTAGACACTATAAATTCTCGTCTAGATGGCACCCCAATGGAACATCGTTACAATGTAATGTTAGTGTGTATGCATAGGTTGGAGGTTGAAGATTAAGAGAGAAGTATGCTAATTGTATGGTTTCACCAAGTTATAAATGATGCATGAATGATATATTTATAATTGGACTCTTTTTAGGTAAAAAAGTGTAGTTTAGGAATGAAAAAATTATGAAAACATGACCCTTAAAATAGTATGTGTCGATCTGAAAAGGTTATGTATCGATACATGCAAAACAGTGGCTAAAAGCTTTAATAATGCAGTACATGTGCTGTCTTGAAAATCATATGTATCAACACATGTGCTGGAAAGATTTAAGAATGCAGTACATGTATCGACCTATAAATCGTATGTGTTAACATATACTGAAGCTTTTAATAAAATGCAAAAATGCTGAATTTATGTGTCGACACAGAGAAATTTTAGGTCGACACATAAGTGCTAATTTTGTGCAAAAACTGATTTTTCATGATTGAGACCAATTTTAAAGTTATTTTAAATGATTCCTAAGACCTCTAATGCAAGGGAGTGCCACAAGACATAAGGATACCGTCCATCATACTTAAATGCTAGCTTTCTGATTTTTGACATCATACAAAACATCTAATAGTGTAGTTGCACTCACACATGTTGTTGCGACCTTCCTCATCATATACGTTTCACCGTGCCGACAACCTGCTCATATGCCAATGTGCGAAATGGGGATCAACTCGGCCAACATTATGCAAAAATATATTTCAAACATACTTTATAATGAATTAGGCCAACATGCTGCAAACATATATTTCAAATACAAATGTCGTAGCCGAGATATGTGAAAGGTTACCCCGCACTTTGTCATCATCGTGACAAATGAACCCAAATGTTAGAGTCTTTCAACCATAATAATGAACTCGCTTTCACCTTTGTAGTCGAAATAGACCATATCCTGTATCCCGACTCCTAAAGTGTTAAGAACAGCCTCCCAGCCTTTTCGTTTTACCATCGACTCTGTCTTATGCATATCACAAATCAAAATAAACTGGTTCCTACCGTATTCCTTGTACACATGCCACTCATCTTTTAGGTCGTCAATGTGATTAAAGAAAAACATCAGAGGTACGACTAACTTGGTCTGAAATGAAAAAACAAAAAAAGCACTCTCCATTGGAATGAACAACTATGGTTAACCAATAAAGTTTAGAAATTAAATAAAAAACAATGTCGTATGAAATTTTTACCTTACGTATGTGATGAATGCGAGTCCATGATGCTATGGTTACTCTCATTTCTGTGGTGTAACGCAAAGCCAATGCCATTGTTGTGACTAGGATTTTAGAGATGAAGATGGAAGGATGAAATTTACTTGCAAATTATTAAGGGGCTGGTGGGGATTGATAGGGTATGTTAAGGGGATGGTGGGTATTTATAGTAGTTGGGATGATAATGGATTTTTCATGTCTTGCGCGGTTACCTAACTCGAAGGGTTAAGTTTTTCCAGATTTGTGCAAATCCATATTAACTTATTAGGGTTCAGGATTATATAGGTTATAGACCCAATTATTTAAATGGTATTTTTCTAGATTTGTGCAACTCCATATTAAATATTAAGGTTTAGGGTTACATAGGTTATAAACCAAATCATTTAAATGGTGTATGCACTTCATATTTTACTATTGCACTTAAAGGTCATATCAATAATCTATTCTAATGTCTATAATTATTACACTAAAAAACCTTAAGATTTTCTATAAACGACATGGCATTGATAACTTAAATCACCCCATCAAATGGAATTGAAAAGTTAAATCACATTGATTTTCTTGAATTTTAATCTTCTCAATTGACAATAATACATTGGGAAAATAATCAAAAACTAACAAAACAAAGATACACTTTTTTTTTCGTAATTAAGAAAAAACAGCAACATTCTAATCACTACATTATAAGCTAAGAAGAAAAAAAATCCATTAAATCAACACGGGGGTATGAAATATCAACCAATAAACTTAGAGATGTATATCCAGATGGAAACAAAATAACACTTGTTCATTCTTTACCCTGGAGTGTCAATATTCACGTCATCAAAAATTGAATAATTTTTTTGAACCATCATGAACCCCATATCGATAATTTTCAACCTAATACAACAAACCTCCCTTTAACAAAGTTATTTTCAGTAAAATCAGAAAAAAATTGTTTTTCAAATTCGTTGAAGAATCAATGTATCTAAACTAACACATCAAAAATATATGTAGTTTGAAGACATTATTTTTTCAATGAATCTAAAAAATAATTTTTTTTCTTATATTCAAGACCACATGTAGTACAGGTAAAAAGAAAAGAAATTACCTCACAAAACAAAACCTTATGTTTCTGCTAAATAAATAAAAACTGAACATCCCCAATTTTGCAACTCATATTTGAGTTGTTGAAGTGAACAACACATTAGTATTATACTTGAACTCCACATTGGTTTGTGGGACCCTATTAAAATGAATTGCGAATAAAATAATAGTGTGTACAAATAACAAATTTTAAAGGAAATTGTTAATTAAATTCTCAGATCTTAATTACAAAATCAATTCTAAAATCACAAATAATAATTTTTTTAACATCTTCCCCATGCAAAGCGTCACTTGGAATTTTCTCTATCTTGCGTCTATAGCTGGCAGTAAAACCTATTCCACTATTAGAAAAACACGTACTGCTGCACACATACTTAGAAAAACATGAAGAATCGATATTGATTTGACCGCTAAAGATTTGCAACGCATACACAGACTCTTTGAAAAATGTGATGAGCCGATACTGATTTGATCGCTAAAGATTTGCAGCGCTTTTATTACATATTTGAAGAAACAATGTCTTTTCAAAATCATAGTAATACTAGTACTACTAATTTGACCAATATATGAGCTTTGATTGGAAAAAGCATGGGAAAAAGTTGTTCTTGCAATGTGATCATGGCCATATTAGTTCGTTCGTATTTTTTTAAATAAATGTACACCATTTGATTTAAATCATAAGATCAACATTTCGCGTGTTGGTTTCGTTCCTTTCTAAACTCTATCCTATTGATTTTCAATTTAAGAGAGGCATTAGGGATTCGATTCATGTATACTCTCCATCTTCAACAATCAACCATGTCAGCACCAATACGTAATATTCTCAGAAAGCCAATGCTAACCACATGGAGTCACATTCACAGATTTACAGAGGTAAGTACTACTGAAACTATAACTTTTTTTTTGGTGTTTCAATTTTTTAATATAACTCGATTCTAACTATTTTTTAATTTTCTCTCTCTATTATTGTAAGACAAATGTCGAAGTCCCTCTGAATTTCTTGGACCACTATTTTTCCAAATTGAAAAATGATTGGTGATGCGCCTACGATGTTTTTGGAAACCGCTTTTTATTACTATGCGACCTAAACATCACAAATCCGTCTATATAAAAAAACTCTTGAAAAGATGTTGTAAACATTTTGGGACTTGACATACTGGATAAAGTTTATTTTGATTATAAAGGAAATAACATGTTTTTTATTAGATGTGAAAAACTGAGGAGCCTTGGTTCTTTTACAACCATACGCACTACACGTGAAATAATATTTAAAAATCGTTGTTTCACAATAATTTTTTTTTTGTTATTCTCTCTATTGCTGATACTATATTGTGGTATCTTAGACTAAAAATACATTTTTCGTATTTAATTTATTCTAGATGATCGGTGAAATCGATCCTACATCTGCGTAAGAATTCATACACAGTCTACCAGCGAGATGAAACGTTTATGATCGGAACGGTCATAACCATGTCATGCATTTCAATGGAGATGTCTTAGCTCCAGTGTTGTTTGACGGATGGGAAACCATGAGAGATTTCTTTCATCTAACTGAAGACGTTAGAGTTATGATTACTTATTTCGGCAACTATATTTTTCGAATCAAATTCCTGCATGTAATTTCAAGTAACGATCAATATCTAGTGTGGCATGTGCTTCATGGTTCATAGTTATATCATCATCACATGTATTTCTCAGTTGTCACTAATAAAGTTATTTATAATCTTTTAATTTTTTATGTCAAACTGTTGGTATGGAATTTACAATTTATCATTTTATTTTATTTTATATTTTATTGCGATGATTAAAAACAGACTTATTGATTTTAAATGAATAACAAGATCCACGTTATATTTAATAAAATATATTAGATTATTGATGAATTGTATATATTTGTTCCACATTCAATTTGATACATTTAAATTTAAACTATTTGGATTTGGTGTGATCATACAATATTTAATAATTAAAATTACATATTAAAAAAAAATCTCAAAAACATTTTTTATAATTTAAAAAAAAAATAGTTTCAAATTAATTGATTTAATTTTTAATTTTTTATGTTTAGACAAAATTATAAAAAAAAAAGATAAAAATCATTTCTAAAAAACTGTTTCAAATCAATTTTCAAAAAAAATTGTAAACTTTTAAAAAATAAAATAATACTATAAAAATATTTTAAAAAAATGAAACAAAGAATTAAATGGTTTATGTTGTACAGTAGTTTTTTTTTTTGATGAAGCAAAATTCCATGATCCCCTAAAAATCCAAAACGACGACCTACAACAAAGCTGGAAAAGTCGTTTTGTTCATCTCTTTGCATGTTTCCTCTACTCTTCCCTCTGGTGTTCACTGTAACCTTATTCCGAAGCTAATCTCGCTCCCAAAATGTTTCACTCCGCAACTTTAACCGTTTTACTCCTAAGCGGTTGTCGTTTCGTCATTCCCTTCTCCTTTTTCTCTTTTGTCTCAGTTACCGAAACAATTTGATCTTAAACACATTAATTTTCGATATAATTTTTCAATTTTCGATCTTTTTTCCTTCAGGTGTTCTCTTGCAGATATCATGGGTCGCTTCAATTTCAATGCCGAGTTCCAATTGCTACGCTTTCAATAATTCAAGTCGTATTGTTGATTTCGTATCCTTAAGTTCCACACTCTCCAAGTTATGAACTTTTATTGGGCATTACTGTTAAAAGCTACAAACAAAAAATGGGTCATTCATGGATTTGAATTTTACTGCTAACTACTTGTTGATATCATAGATAAGCTTGTTTTTACTTAACTGATTAATTAGAGTAGCTGGACTGGTTACCCTTTTGAGTATGATGAGAAGGTAATGCTCTCACACAGATTATTAGTTATTATTATTATTATTATTATTATTATTATTATTATTATTATTATTATTATGTTTATGTTTATGTTTATGTTTATGGTATTGTTGTAAGTTTTGATATAGGAGTGATTTGTTTTATGTGTTCATTTTTGATAAACTTTTCACTTTATATTGATGCAGCAAGGTACTGATGTGGTTGTAAGATTCTGCAAAGATGTGGAGACTAGATCGCAAACGGTAGTTTATGTTACCATTCTTTTAAGTACTTCTTTATCATGTAATTTGAAATAACTGAAATAAATCACTTGAATTTCGTTTGTGTTTATATAATTCACTATTTTTTCTAAGCACTTATTGTTTTTGAACTTTTCCTATGAATGTATGTCTGTTTCGTTTGATGTGATATATTCTTCACTTCATCAGCTGATGCCCAAACCTATTTAGGGATATGTTGATTTTGGCCGATTTGATAGGTTCAACTACTTTGTTGCTGGTTCTGGCCAATTTGATTTTGTACAAGTAAGTTCTCTATTCTCTATTTTGAGAAAATATGAACCATGAGTAAGCAAGGTTGTCAGAATCGAGAGTTTACTTTGAATCGAAAGAGGATAGTAAGATCGAAAAATTGTAAATCGCAACCAAAATCGGTGGATTCTACTCAAATCGTTTTGTTGAATCAAAAGGGGAAATCAAGATTTCATAATCGAAAATCGCAACCAAAATCGATGGATTCAACTCATAATAGTACTCAAAAGTTTAAAAAATCATAAAACAAACATAAAACAACCAAGTGTCAAATCTTAAATATAAAACAAAATACTTAAAGTCTAGATGCTAAATTAGATCACTAATGCGCCATCTACTTGGATCATCTCCCATAATATCAACATTGTCATCTTAATTAATCTCATCATCACCACCACCATCATCATCACCTCTTGCACCACTTCCATCATCAAGGTTGAAAGAGAGTAATGCTCACAGATTGTTGAAACCAGAAATGAAGGCAAGGTTGAAAACAGAGCAGCAATCGCAAGAGTCAAGGAGACAAGGTTGAAGACTTGAAGGAGAAAGAAACACGATTGATGTAGAAGTGCAAACGTCTAATGAATATCAATAAAATAAGGTTTTCCCCCTTTTTAAATAAAAAGAGTTAAAACCAGGTCACAAAACGAAACGGGTCGTCTTTACCCATTTTAAAATTACCCAAAAAAAAGCCCAAAATCGGTGGAATCCATATGAGATCGCGGATTTTGCTGCGATTTAGTGATTTTGTGCGATTTTATTGGGATTTTGCTCTGATTTAGGATTCTACCCACGGTTCAGATCGTTTAGGGTGAGCAAAATCGCAAAATCCATGGATTTCATGACTCTGATCGCGATTCTGACAACAATGTGGGTAAGAATACTGCTTAAGTGTGAACGTCTTTTGGAAGGAAATTACTATAATTTGTTGTCTCTTTTTTTATGCTCTTTGTCTTAGCTTTGCCAGTGAGAAAACCTAACAGTTTCAAACACATAAAAAATGTTAAATATTACGGAAGTGCACATGCTAAATCTCATGACACTTGGAGTAAACAATAAACATTATGTTGCAAACTTGATTATGCATTTTGCTTCCATTTCTCATCATCTTTCTTAACACATTTTCTCCTGCATTCCGTGCCATTTTCTCAATATGTAGGAGTTTTATAATGGTGACCTAATGAGTTGTGAACAAAGTTATGACAAAATGGGACGAACAGCTCAGGTGTGTGCTACTCTGAAACTTCCATTATTTTATTAACTGTTCTTTAGACTCCAGAACATAGTAGGGAAAATGGGAATATAGTGTTGTTAAATAACCGGTACAGTGCCAGTCGCCACTATACCTCTATTACATATCAGGATTTGGAGCAACCACGACGGAAGCCGATACACTATTGCAATTTTGCTACCACTGCAATAGCGGTGGATCTTCGTATGTCGTTGATAGTGATTATGGCTCACATAGCGGAAGTTATTGTTTTTTATGCTTTTTTCCCTAATAATAACATGAAAAAAATATCATGTGATACATGTTTTAGCTGTAAGAAATGCAGTATTCTATATCATAAGTATTGTGTCATTATGTGATACATGTACATTGCTCATGTTACATTAATGTCTTTCAGGTAAATGTCATATGTGGGAGCTGTCCTAATGGACAATGTAAAGGTATGTAAATCTAAAATTTTGAGGGGCATATAATAAATCACTGATTGATGTATGTAAATCTAAATTTCTCCATGGTTTTCCTCCTTAGTTGCCTTAATCCCACTTTGAAATGGCTTATGTTATTTTAAATACTGTTTTGAAGTATCATATCACATACTTCAGTTTTTTTGACTTGCAGGTCGTCCTGGATGCATATGTCACGTCGTACATGAATCGAACTGCAGGTCTTTTATACTTTACTCTCTTCTCAGCTGTCTTTTTAACATGCAAAATGCAACCATCCCTTGCCATTACATCTTTCGAATGTTAGTCTGTCAGTCAAACCCAAGAGTGTTCTAGTTGAAACTTTGGGGGAAATAATACTGTAGATTTGAAGGTTCCTCTTCTCCACACTCCCTTATGGATGTAACTTTTAGGTTTATATATGAATTCAATTCTCATAGTTTTTACCCTTCTTGGGTGCTTATAATTTCTCTTGATTTACCATGTTAGCATTTGAAGTGTGACCTTTTAATAAGTAAAAATCATGTAAGTCTTCTTGTCTTTCAGAGTTTTAATTGAACTTGCAATTTCGTGTGATAAACCGGGCCCCCAGATATTCCAAGGTTTCACTGTTGGTTTTCATCCACGATCATGGGAACTTGTGAGCAGCTCTACCATTCTCACTTATTTTTCCATTTATTTATTTGCTTGATGAGACTAGGCATAATTCCCATAATTAAATTAAAGAAAGTTCCCAATTCAGTTATTGTAGGATTCTCATAACATCAAAGCATGCTCTTAACTGACAATGCCTAACTAAGAGGAGACTTGCTCTTGATATATTGACGTCAAATTGGTCCTAAAATGATATCTTTTGCATGAAATTTTAGACTGTTTTGATGTTCATGGTCCAATTTGATGTATATAATCTTTTGAGGACCAAACTTATGTTTTGAAATTCTTTCAAGCACCGAAATTAGGTGTTTTCTTTTTCGAAAATATGATAATGTTAAATTTGTGTTTTATTTTATGAAATTGTAGGTTTATAATGGCATGACTCAATTCGGTTTTGAGAAACCCCGTCATGATTTTAGGTCAGGATTGCTGCTGCCACTGCTGCATTTTGTTGTTAATCACATTTTTCTTCAATATCAGTTTTAGTATGTATGTGGGCTTCACACTCAGTTGTTACAAATAATGTGTGGTTGTGGTTGCTTTTACAGCTTTCAGACATCACAAACTCAAGTAGTCCTATTTACGAGTGCAATTGCTTCACTCTCATCCTTGGTTCGTAAACCTATTTTGAAGGTACTTTTGTAATTGGTTTAGTCTCAACCCTCGGGATAACTGTTATTGGCATTTTTCAAATTCTAGGTAATTGGAACATGACCATTGTTGACTGCTGCTAATTAGGTTCTTCCAAATGATGGCTTGAGAGTTGAATTGTCTGGATCCGCTGCTAGTGGGAAGCCTCCGACAACTTTGTCACCCACAATGTTGATCGTTGATTGGAGATGTAGGGTACCACTTATTTAAGAAGTATCAATGTCATGCAAAGTTGTCTTGTCAAACTTTCATGTTTTTCAACTCTTTTTCAGGTGAGGTAGCTCGTGACACCCCATATGAAGTTAACATCACAATCCCGATTGAAGGATATGAGCCAATTGAATTTGTGCTTACAAAAATGTGCGGTGAGTGCTACTAACTTTCTCCGAAAATTGCAAACTAACTACCTCATCATATTTACATATTAAACTAATTGGAAGACTAGGCAAGTATTATGCCTATGATAATAGTTTCTTCCCAAAAAATCTTCCTTGCGTTTTAATTGATTAAACGGGTCGTTTTGTTTATTCATTGTTGCAGACTACACACAACGTCAAGGAGGTGGTGCCACAAGAGGATGGGCAATATTTGGAGTGATATCTTGCATGTATAAAAACGTTCTCGTATATTTTTTTTGTCTTTAATTATGCCTAGTAAAAGAACTAAAACATATAAATAACGGCTCAAATTATTGTCCTGTCATACTTGGTTACATTATTGAGTCGTTGTCTTGTTTTTCTTCTATTTATTCATATTAAATGTAAGGGAACTTGTTATTGGGCAGATTCTTTGTCTCATCAACACTTTTTTGCTGTGGAGGATTCATTTACAAGACAAAAGTAGAGCGCCAGGTCAGGATCGTCTCTTTCACTTCCACGTTACAGTCATAATAAGATGGTTGCTAAGTATCAATTCTATTATTATATCGTAAAAACATGTCTTAACTATCTGTTAACCTAACATGTCTTAACTATCTGTTAACCTAACATGCCTTAACTATCTGTTAACCTAACATGTCTTAACTATCTGTTAACCTAACATGCCTTAACTATCTGTTAACCTTTTGCAGCGTGGAATTGATGCATTGCCTGGCATGACATACCTATCTGCCTGCTTAGAGGCAGTAAGTTCCGAGCTTCTATTTATGTTTGTTTTTTTTTTGGAACTTTGTTGACTTGGAAATTACTAAATGATGGGACTTTTTGATGCATGCTGTTAATGTTAATCATCAACTAGTTAGTCTTGGTAGGATTGGTTGTTACCTCAATTTGCATACTAAACTAACATCTGTTCAATGTATCATAAAAATAGGTTGGTGGGGCTGGGCAAGGTTACTCACGGCCAGAAGACGCGTATGCCTCTGGCGAAACCTCTTGGGAGCGCCCTCCTGGTCCTTCACAACCTCAAGCTTCATGGAGACCAACAGAGAGAAAATATGGCGCCATTTGAACGGTCCTGCCACCTATTTGTTTTTTGCTTTTTACCATCATTTTATCTAGTAAAAAATGGGATTCGGTTCTCTGCCAAATGTTATTTGGATTCACTCATTCATACAACAGGATTAAAAAACCTCAGTCTGATTTATTTACAGGTAAGAAGTAAAGAAGAGATAGTTGTAGTAGTAGTTTGAATCTAGCAGCTGAATTGAATTTAACGAGTTGTCCGAATTCAAAAATATGGGAAACAAAAATTATGCCTAACAAACCTTATATTCATTGACTCAAAGAACAATCTATTATCCATTAAAAAGATAAAATAGTCCGTGTACTTTGGAAGAATATTTGATGTTTTCATTTTTTTTCTTTCTAAATTTGTGTTAATTTAACTTGTTAATAAAGCGATAATAGAGACATTCAATTCAAGTGAACAACCATGCCTATTTTTTCAAAACAATAAAAATGCTAAGAAGTTTTTATTTATTTAAATGATTGATATCTAGCTAGCACTTCGTCTTATCTCTATTGCTTAATTTCTAGTAGATGGGAGACAACCATTCACACTTGAATTTTAGCAATATCCCTTTCTAAGTGTCGGTCACCCACATTATTAGGTTTGATCCACACTAAAATCTCCCTCTTGATTCAACACCAAGGCTTACCATTGATCGAGAATTTGGAAAAATCATGAGTAATATCGAGTCAAATATTTTAAGACTACAAGAGAGGAAGATATCACGTCTCTACTCAAATTATGAGTGAAGATTTGTCATAGTTGCTTGTGGGTTTTGAATGTTTAGTCTGTTGCTGTTCTTGACATTTCTCAGACTCTCTAACAAATGATATCAAAGTCTTGGTTTAATTCGGTGGAGGGTGGAAATAAGATTTTATCGTAGATCAAATTTAGTGAAATAAGTGATTCACACTAGAGAAAGAGTGAGTGGCTAGTCCTACATCGATTAGGGAGTTCAGAGAGCATTATGAGTAGAAATGAGTCAAACGTCCCAGACAACTTAAAATTTTAAGACATAAAACACCTCTCTTATATTTACAACATTTTTTTCATTTTTAATTGATGCGAGAACTAACCTCTCATATTTGAATTTCAACAGAGCTATTTTTTAGTCAATATAAAATTATGGCAAAAATAAAATGTAACTTTGTATAGTAGTCTACTACCATTCGAAAAACGATATAAAATAGAGTTTTTAATTTTTAAAGAAAAAAAAGAATATTCTCACGCTCATAAGATATTTTTTTGTGTATTTATCATACCTTTTGATCTTTTAGTTCAAGACGCCACTTCACACGCTATGTCAAAATGATATGTTTAGATACTAGTTTATTATTATTTAGTATATATGGTCTCTATGAGTAGTATCAGTTAAAATATTATTTGCAATATTATTGTATCAAATCTTTCCTTAATTAGTAGGATTGATTAGGAGGCTTAGACCTATGGAAAGATTTTGCTATAAGTCTTAATAATATACAAGACTTTAACATGGTATCTAGAGCTGGGTTTTAAACCCTAATTTTTTTCTCCTTTTGGGTGTACAAGAGCAGAGTCTCTGTTTTTAAAATTTGCCTCTGTTTTCAAATCTGCCGACGTCTCCAAACAGTGTTCCACAACCGGTGATTGGAATTCCCCGTTCTATCACCTGCTAAAGTCGCGTTGCCACCCATTGCCCCCATGTGCCAGTAGAAGCATCGCTCACGCGGGCCCACTCGTGCCACTCTCTGATGCGTGTGATCAACACGCCACCCTCTGGTAGCCCGTTTTTGGTGGCATTTTTTGCTCCTCGCTCGATTTTGTCCCCTGAATCCAGTGGGACCACTTTCAGTATGTGGGTCTCACGTTGAAGGTATGTTTCAGCCCGTTCTTTGCCTCTAACGTATTGGTGTGTTGTTATTTCTCTTTGTTCGCATACAACCTATCAATTGTGTGTTATTTCTGCAATCCATAGTTCTTTATTTGTTGGTTTTGTAACCATGAGTGGACCAAAGGAAGTTGTTGTTAAGGAGAATTCTCCTAAAAATAGTCTTATTTCGTTTGCGTTTTTCAAGGAACACCATCATTACCACGACTAAATTAAATGGTAATAAGAACTATTTGAATTGGTATGCTTCGGTTGAGTTATGGTTTTTAGGACAATGTATGTCTGGCCATATAACTAAAAAGGTTTCAAAAGTTAATAAAGAGATAAAAGATGATTGGAAAGTCGCTGATTATCAACTTGTATCACTGTTGTGGAATTCTATTGAACCAAACTTAATGGCACACTTTCGTGTGTATAGGTCATGTAATGAGGTTTCACAAAAGGCTAAAAACCTTTATGCTAACGGTATTCAAAGAATGTATGTGTCGGTGCGCAACTTGGCTACTCTTCAGATGAATGATCAAGACTTATCAGAATATCTCACTCTTGCTTAGTCTATTATTGATGGTCTCAAATTTATGTTAGTTAGTGATGATATCACAAAGGTACTTGGCAAGCTTGACAATATGTTCATGGTGTTTGTTCTTTATGGCCTCTCTAAAGAATATAGTTCAGTTAAATCTGTTAACAAATACTACCATCTCTACAGTAAAAGAACTAATAGATGGTATCGTCAGGGTATCTTCACCAAGTGATGACACTCATACTACTCTCGAGCCATATGCTTTTGTTTTTAACTTTAGCAATGGAGGACAAGGTGGACGTGGTAGAGGAGGTAGAGCCAACTTCTATTGCACGCATTGTAGGAAAGATGGGTACACTCAAGATAGGTGCTTTGACTTACATGGCTACCCAAACAAAATTGCTAATGGCTCAAATCACTGCAAACTGTGAATCAAAGGGTGAAGTAGAAACTACTTTTTCTGCAAACGAGTATAAGGAATATTTGCAATTGAAGGCAACACAACAAGCTACCTCCTCGACTACTATTGCTCATACTGGTAATTATATGGTTTGTATTTCTCATGCTACTCCTATTAGATGGGTTATAGATTCTGGTGCTTCAGACCATATAACCAATTATGCCTTACTTTTCTCTGAATTACCACCTCCTAAATATCCAAATTGTATTACTGCTGCAGATAGATCTAAAGTTAAGGCAACTTGTGTTGGACGAGTATCACTTATCCCCTTACTCTCCTTGAGTTATGTTTTGTTGATTTCTAATTGTCCTTTTAATTTGATTTCTACAAGCAAATTAACCAGCTCTTTAAAATGTGTCATAACATTTACTTCTGATTCCTTTTTTTATACAGGATCGGAGTACCGGACAAACAATTGGAGTTGAAATTGAATCCAATGGTCTTTACTATCTTCAACCATCCACTTCCGCTATATGTGCTACTACTGAACCTCCTGATCTTTTGCATCTTTGCTTAGGTCATTCGAGTTTCTCAAAATTAAAGAAAATGGTGTCTGGTATTTCTCATTTAGAGTTGTTACAATGTGAGTCTTGTCAACTATGAAAACATGTTAGAGCTTCTTTTTCCAGTCGCATTAATAACATAGTTTTGTCTCTTTTTGACGTTGTTCATTCTGATGCGTGGGTCCTAGTCGAATTCCTTCTATCCTAGGGTATCAGTATTATGTTACTTTTATTGATGATTTCTCAAGATGTACTTGGATATTTTTAATGAAATACCGTTCTGAGTTGTTTAATATTTTAAAGAATTATTGTTATGAAATTTCAACACAGTTTGGAAAAACAATTCGTATTTTACACAGTAATAATGCAAAATAATATTTTTCTGATCATTTCAACTCGTTCATGAACTCCAAAGACATCGTACATCAATCGAGTTATCCCCATACGCCTCAACAAAATGGTGTTGCTGAAAGAAAACATCGACACATTGTTGACACTGCTCGTGTTAAATGCCAATGTACCTCTAAAGTTTTAGGGTGATGTTGTTCTTACTGCCGGTATCTAATTAACCGGATGCCATCCTCTGTGTTGAATGGTCAGATTCCTCATTCCCTGGTGCACCCTACAGATCCCTTATATATTATTTCTCCTTGTGTCTTTGGATGTACTTGTTTTGTTCATGATTTATCCCCGAGTCATGATAAAATGTTTGCTCGTGCTATCAAATGTGTTTTCCTGGGCTACTCACACATCAAAAAGGGATATCAGTGTTACTCCCTTTCTACACATTATTTCTACACATCTGTAGATGTTACATTCTTTGAGGACATACCATACTTTCCCAACTCAGGTGTCCCTGAAAGTAATTTCGATCAAGTTTTGCCTATTCCTTATTTTGAGTTAGTTGATTCCAATCCTTTATCGTCTAGTCCACCTGTTGTGATATATGAGTCTCAAACACCGTTGAACCGGTATGACATTACCTATAAGATAAGGTTAAAACCACATGATTCAACCCTTATTCCAAGCGCCTCCACCCTTGCTCTGACTCCATCTACTGACTTTTCGGTTACCATCCGTAAAGGTAATCTTTCAACCCGTAATCCTTATCTGATTTATAATTGCGTGTCATATCACTGGTCATCTCCCACCTATTATGATTTTGTTACTGCACTTGTATTTGTTTCTATTCCTAAAACTATCCATGAAGCTTTATCTCATCTAGGGTGGAGACAGGAAATACTTGATGAAACGTCAACTTTAGAATCTAATCATATTTGGGAGCTTGTTCCTATCCTACTTGGAAAATATATTATTGGTTGTAGGTGGATATTTGATGTTAAGGTGGGTCCCAATGGACAGGTAGATAGATTGAAAGCTTGCTTAGTAGCAAAAGGGTAAACCCAAGTTCATAGTTAGGATTATAGTGATACTTTCTCTCATGTTGCAAAGATGACCTATGTTCGCCTCTTTCTAGCCATGGCTGCCATGAAACAATGGCCTCTATTTGAATTGGATATCAAAAATGATTTTTTGCATGGTGACTTGGAAGAGGATGTTAAATCCATGGTTTTAGGATTGACATAAATTTTGCTAAAACATGGTTCTAGACTGATGTTGAGCAAAATGTTATAACATCTTGACCAA